TCACTCAGTTTTAATGACTCAGTTTTAATGATTCACTCAGTTTTAATAACGGACTCATTTCAGCTTCTCGCATCATAACGATCTGATAAAACGTTGGTTACAACTGTAACCCCAGATTCTATGAATATAGGCTTCGCCCTTTAAGGCTGTCGCTTGGTGGGTTAAGGGCGAAGCGGATGTGGTCCTCGCCTCACTGGGTCCATTCGAACACCGTATGAAGCAGAAGCTTGCCCAAAAAAAGTCTAATCACTCAGCTCCCATGTGCGTAATTACGCATTGCGTAATTATGTGGCCATGCACAGACGCATGTTGTGTAACTATGCGTTCTGAATGCATGAACGCCCCGGAAAACTTCAACGGGGAGGGAAAAAAGCTGAAAAGAGCCATGAACCAACCGGTTTACGGCTGAACCGTATGAACAGATTAATAATAACAGGAGAGCTGATTATTAATCAAATGAACTGATTGGTAACAATAGTCGTGAACTGATTAGTGACAATAGAACCAAAATAACAATCACAACTTGTGACTGATAACATCTCACACTGTAATGCACAGGACAGATGTGAGCTTAAACAGAGTTCCATGAAACAACAATATTCATTCTGTTAGAGCATTAAGGACAGAATGTGTCATGGAACGAGCCGTCACATCACGTAGATAAGAGCGAATGAATGAGCAGGGTGTTGACCACGCAGCCGCATTGCAAATGTCCTGCATTGACATACCATTATGCAGAGCAGTCGAAGATGCAATACCCCTGGTCGAGTGTGCCCTGAGGTTGACAGGAGACTCTAAATCTGATGCTCTGTAGGCTTCAGAAAAGGCCTCACACAGCCAGTGTGACAACCGCTGGGTGGATAACGGTCGACCTGCAGATGCATCTCTATAATGCACAAACAATGTTGACGCATTGCAGCTGTGCGCGCTATGTAACACGTCAACGCACGTATAGGGCAGAGAAGATGGAAAGATGCTTCTTCCTCTGATCTGTGGGTGGGGACCTCTCCAACGATATCACTCTTGATTTAAAAGAGCTCGTGATGTTTTAGGTATAAAAGCTGGGTTGGTCTTAGATCAGCTGAGCTGCCGTCAGCCTGAATTCTGAGACATGACGGAGCGACAGAGAGGGCAGATAAATCACTCACCCTCTTAGTGGATGTTAAAGCCAGCAGCAGGGCTGTTTTAAGAGACAAGAATTTAAGTGGAACCTGATCCAGAGGCTCAAATGGAACTTTGATCAGGACCTGCAGGACCAGCGTTAAATCCCACTGTGGAACAAGTGGGCGTGAAACAGGCCTGCGTCTCTGTACACCTTTTAGAAAACGCTTCAGCAGCGGATAATTAAAAGCTGTTCCGTCTCCGAAAACCTTTGTGGCAGGAAGAGATGGCTGCAACGTAAGTTTTAATCGTGCTGAACTCCAAATTTCTGTCCATCAGCTGCTGCAGAAAAGACAGTACACCACCTAGTGGACATGAAGTGGCCTCTACACCTTTCTCTGTACAGCAGCGCTGAAAGGCTGTCCACTTGATGTGAACAGCGCTGTGGTGGAGGCAGCACGTGAATCCTGAATCGTACGCACTACATCTTGAGAGAGACCCATCCTCTCTAAGTGGATCCGCTCAGCGGCCAGACCCAAAGGTGCTGGCCTATTCTGGGTAATTCCTGATCGCTCCTCCCGCCTGGAGGAGAGCGTCCTCTTTCCACGCCAGATTCCACGAGCGCCCCGCTAACAGGTGTCGTAGGACTGGGAACCATGATGCGTTCACGCGCTCAGGACAGAAGAGCTGTCAGTCCCTCCTCCTGAGCTCGGTTCAGAAACCGTGATATCAGAGGGAGTGAGGGAAAGTGAAGAAGCATTTTGGCCACAGACTGTGAGCGAACGCGTCCACCCCTAGTGGTGGTTCGTCCCGTGGGCTCAGTGAGAACCATAGTTGACATTGAGCGTTCTCTCGTGTTGCAAACAGGTCCACAGCCGCTCGCAAGATTTCTGCCACGTCTGAGCCATCAGCTCTGGATGGAGGGTCCCGGTTCCCATGACGCAAACCGTCCTTGGACATCACATCTTCCCCCTGTTCAGAACACCGGAGATGTACGCTGCTCTGATGGAGAGCAGATTTGGTGTGCCCCACACAGCATCTGTCTCACAATGTGGAACATTTGGGTTGAGCACATACATCTCCTGCCAGTTATGTATGCAACAGTCACTTGCTGTCTGTGTGAATCAAAAACCTGATGATTCCGCAGCACAGAGGCAAAGTGTTGAATC